AAGGTGAAATCAACAAAATTGATGACAGTTAAATAGTAACAATTATGTTAGCCATTTAAAGAGATAAAGAAAACAATAATTAAAAGATCCTATTGATCCGATCCGATAGACAATTGAGAATTCCACGTTGCAAAGGAAAGGTTATTAATTACTTATGTAATCAATTAATTATTACAATTTCCTTCTGTCTATGGAATTTGTAATTGATGGGTTTTAAACTTTTCAATTATGTGGTATGAAAGGTTACAAATTACGCAAATGTAATCGAACAAAAATCTAATCTCGTCGTGTAGACGTTGACAACTGTCAATGACAAGTCTTTGTAAATTTTCCCTAATAAAAATTATAGGAATTCCAACAACATGTACCTATATTTTTTATGGAATAGGGTGATAAACGAGCGGCTGTTTCATGATGTTCCAGATGGTAGGCAATCAGCGCAACCCATAGACATCAGTAATGACAGAGGAGTTTTGGTTGATTAAGGATTTTAGGATTCTATTTGGGTACTGGGAAATGAGGAGAGGATACTAGCTCCAGTGACCTCACAGTCACAGCAAAACACAACGCAGAACTTTTTTCACGCCTGTTTTAAGTTGGTATCACTCCAGTCCAAGCGATCCGTTCGTGCTGAAGCATCGCTCTTCGACACTGCACTTTTCTTAGTTAACCTAAATAGGTAGGTAGTACCTATTGTAATACGCCAAGTCTAGTTAAGTTAAACATTCTATTACAATGTGGCACGAGACTTTCCTGATTGACTATTTTACATAAACGAGTTGATTGTTTATAGCAGCTATTAGCAATAAGTAGTTTTTCCGCATTAATTAGTGAAGTAACAGTTAAAAACTTCCCAGAGCAAAACTAACGATCTGCACGTACTTTTGAGCTAAGTAAAGTGCAAGAGTAGGATATGAAATGAAAACCCTTATCACATACTATATACCTACACACATATTTTGTGGTTAAAAAAGTGAGTTGTGAGTTACAATTAGCTCTTCTGTAGGTACGGTCAGCTGCAGAGAAATTGACACCCCCCCCCCCCTGAAGTACAAATATGTAAAGGCACCGGGGGGTTGGTACAAACATCAACATCCCGATCATCGTCTTCAAAGTCCATCGCAGGGCGTAGGATTTTATAATCAGACCGAATAAATTACAAAAATAACGGACGTCGGCAATCCGTCTCCTATGGCAGTCACAGCGTTCGCTCTCCACCATAATGCGCACGCAGAACTGTCTGTTTGACGTTCCGCCAGAGTGCCTTTCATTGTACCCTCGTCCGATGACAAAATCTCCTTCAAAATTCAATTTAAATAATTGACGCACCGTTATATGTATGCAGCTATCTGCATAAGAGGATCCTTTTCTCTGCAGCTGACTGTACATGCATCACTGAAGTCTCTGAGGGTTGTGGGTGCAAGCGTATTAATGTATGTGGTTTTACTCAGTAAGAATCTGACACTTCCTCTCGCCTGAGCGATAGGAGAATTAGATGATTTATGAAAAAAGGTCGGGTAAAACCGCTTGTTCTATAATATTACCTTGTCAAATTTAGAACAGCCTGTGTATAGCCACATTTTTAAAAATTTATAAAAAACACCCTGCACTTATTAAAAGTAGCACGAAATTGACGCATTTGTTAAAAAACCGTAACGTATACATGTTTATAAAGTGTATGTAAGTTGACAGTATCATTGTCGGAGTATATTTGTAAACAAAAACCTTTATTATGAGAATGTAGGTACTGCAAACATATTTTTGTAATAAAAACAGGATGTAATGACGATCAAACAATGTAGGTATCTCATATTATATTTGTCTAGTAAATATCATGAGAAATAAGTATTAGAAAATTGAAAATAGTGTCTTTCTTACTCTTCGTGCATTACTTTCAATAACACTTAAATTATTTATTTCAAAAAGTTAATCTATGATTTATGAATCCAACATAACCAATGTTTTGTTTTTTTTTTTGTGATAGGTAAGGACCTATCACAAAAATCCGGAAAGACGGATTACCTGATAGGAGTTACGCGTGCGTTACCGACCTTTTGGTAATTTGGGAATTGGAGATTTAGGGATTCGGGGAGGGAAGGGAATGGGCCTACGGTAACCTCACTCTCACGGCGAAACAACGCTGGTTATATCACGCCGGCTTTCTGTGAGGCCGTGGTATCACTTCGTTCGAGCCGACACATTCGTGCCGAAGCATGGCTCTTCCACTGCTTGGTTTACTTTAGAAGCCGCTGATCGTCTATCTAAGCTCCAAACCATAAAACTGTATTTTATTCAAATAGGTACCAAGATTCCGAAAACCCTAGCTACTATTTTTTCCGGCTTTGCAACTAGACTCACAAAAACGTGTGAACGTCACATAACAAAAACGAAAATAAAACAACAAAATCAACTCTATCATTTTCTTAGTCCATTATTACTAATTATTATTATAAGTGCTTATTTGAAATAGTACAAAATCACCTTGTCGCGTGTTACATAAGTAAGTAATATTAAAAATAATCACGCTACCTTGTACAAAACAACAAAAATCTGCCAAGTTTATTTATTAAATTAATATACGGTAGAGAGCGTTTAAGTGTGGGAGACCCAGCTTCCGTACGAATGGGTCGCCTCGACCGAAGTGATACCACGGCCTCACCGAAAACCGGCGAGTAACAAAAACAGCGTTGTGTTTCGCCGTGTACCTAAGTGGGGTTACCAGAGGCCCAAACCTTCCCCTCCCTTATCCCTCCCTCTCCAATCTTTGAATCTCCAAATGCGTAGATAATCCCCAAAAGATCGACAACACACTCGGAACTCCTCTATTGTTGCGGGTGTCCATGGGCGGCGCTGATTGCTTACCATCAGGTAATCCGTATTGTCGTTAGCCGACCGTGGGTTATGGTTTATGCAAAGCTGTGCTTACCCCTATGTCAGCCCTATTTTTTTTTTTCAACAACAGTCTTTGATAGTCAATGATGGATGAATGATGGTCTAGATATGTTTCTACTCTACAAGAGACGGGTTTTCCACATCTCTAAATATAAGCATCTGTACTTACTTGGACTATCGAGTTCATTAGAAAACGCTTTTTAATTGTAATAAATTCGTTATTATCACAAAGTTATAGGTAAAAACAATGAAACCAAAACCGTAATTCTTTTATAATAATAAATGCTAATTTCATTTATTTGTTCTTGTGTTACACTTATATGACTAAACCGCTGAGCTCATTATGATGGAATTCGATACGACTGTAGTTCAAAGGCCGGGAAAGGAAATAGGCTTAAAATTTTCAACTAGCTAATTACAAATTGTATTTACCTTAATGTTACAACGTATTGAAAATATTTATAAGCTGAAAAACATAACTAGCTATTTATGGGGATTAGATTTAACCTGGCTGCTACTTCACCCGCGTATTTTTATAGCCAATGTTTACCCTTTCCCAACATTAAAAGATTTTTTTCAAATCCAGTAGTTTCGGAGCTGATTCAATACAAATATACAAATACAAAAAATTTAATTAATATAGAATAAAAAAACTTATAAAGTATGCTAAAAAATTAAGACCATTTCGGGTCAAATAAAAAAAAAGAATCATGCAAATTTGTCTTCAATAAACCTAACTGTAATCCGTTTATATTGATAGAAAGCAAAAAAACAAATCAACAAATTTGACAAAATCCTCCTTTTTAGTTCGATCGACTACTATACTAAAGAGAAAACCTATTCCTTATTCAAACTGGTTAAAAAATTTCAGATGACTTCGCGAACGGAAACCAGTGTTGCAATCATTAATAATACTATAATGACTATGGTTCTTTCTCACTATGTGGCTGTAACAATAATGTGCCCTGCGAATGTTATTATAAGCTTCTGTTTTTTATCACACGCGTCGTGATTGTTCGTCTCATTAAGAATGGATTCACAAACTATATTCAGTTTTGTTATCTTTATAGAACTGACAGAATGATCAAAATGTTTTAAATACGATGACAGGATGTAGGTCTGGTACAGTTGTCGAATATTTTTGTCATGATTAAGATGATACTAATTTGTTTTTTGTTTTATGGATGGCCAGGATAAATACTATATCCCGATAATAAATTTTTGAGTTTTTTTTTTAAATCTCTAAAATTTATTTTAGTAAACTAAATAAAAGAGGTTTTAATTTCTTCTTTTAGGACCTTGTTCCAAAATGACAATCGCTTTTCTTATTTTTAAAGATCCACATTAAATGTACTTACTCCTTTAAAGACAAATAAGCGTAAAAAATTAACTCGTTTTATGTCAAGCAACTAGTAATACAGATATCCATTTAAATTCTTGTATTAAACATCAATTACCTTAGTAAGGAGTAAGAATTACTCAAGCACTCGGAGTGGTCTTACAAATAAGAACATATGAGTAAATAATTATAATGAATGTGCTTAGTAAAGGTATTTGAATAAATGTTAAATAATATGTAAACCAATACTTATGAATATACGTATATGTACATATTATAAAACTAAAACATCTGATTTACACAACTCGAAATAATAAAAAATAAACTTTAAATCTTAGTGGTTAAGATTGACATTTGACATTTGCAAACGACGATTAGCCTTTACAAAGATAATTTAGAAACAGCTGAGCCGTTTCGAAAGTCGTCGTACTTTCGCAAATTCAATCGCAACTAGTCATTATAATCGCTAGTAATTTTCCATATGCTAAGGTAAAAGTACCAAGACATGGCTTATCAATGCCTCTTTTGCAAGTATTAATATCGTTCAATTGCACTAACCCGTGAAATAAGCATGAATTAAAAACAGTTTCAAGTTGACCACTACAGCTGATAAAATGAATCGTAAAACTGTCGGTAGCCGTCCATTAAAGAATTGTAAACATTAGTCCTATTAGCTGAGAAATACCACTGATCTGCTTTTGGTTTCGTCAGCCATTGGCATTAATTGGTCTCTGTATTGAAAAAAATATCAGTGCATGCTGGGGAGCGGAGCCGGGCGGGCGCTCGGTTCGTTCGTTTACAATAAATGGTATTATAAGCTCAGAGTGTATATTTGGGGGGCGCCGTATCTCTTCGTCATCGAAAGCAAGCCCTGCCACCACAAGCCGGTCAATTGTATAGTGCTATGTGCGTCGATCAGTCGCGCTCGCCTCTCCGCACGTCGCCGCCGCCCGCGCCGCCTGCGCCGCTCGCTCATCAAAATGACATTCTCGATACATTGACGTTAAATTGAAAACATTGAACATGTGTTGTGCCAGGTACACCAACTACCTGTTCCGTAGTGTTGTGAAGTACACATGTGGACTAGCCAGCCGCGAAAGTAAGTAAAACTGCGTCTAGTAGTTCGCTGTACACGACCCGCTCAATCTGCAATATTCCCGACGCTAAAATTAAACCCGATAACGTTCTGTACATATTACAATTATGTGTGACTACAAAATTCATTGTAACTTATCATCGCCGATGGAACATAAACTTTACTACTCTGTGTTGTTTTTATGTCAGTTTGATGCTTGTTTTTATTGACGTATCTCGTTAATTTACAAAAGTATAAAAAAATTGCGGTGCAAATCGTTTAGTGCTTGCGTCCTAGTGCGGTATACACAAGTTTAATGCACAATCACCACACGTCCTCTGAGCAACTTTCTAGAATGTTTCTGAGAATTAACTCGTGTGTCTTAAGTAGTAAGTGTAAGCACGGACTGTGTACTAACATGGAGTGTGGGTAACACGTTAGTATTTGAAACGAAAACAGAAGCGTGCAACGTACTACTGAGTAGGTATCAGTCAGGCTGCTGCGTGTGGTCACGTGGAATTATTGTCGTATCGGAGTAAATCGCCGCGCTAAAATAATTCTAGGTAAATAAGTTAATGTTTACATTGAATAAATGTCGACGTTCGTACTATATATACGTATATACTGACAATAATTATGACTTCATACGTTTAATTATACAATACACAACTAAAATAGTCCAAAATATAAATAATCTTAAGTAAAACTCGCTCACGAATTACGTTTGCGATAATAGTTCACAAGTCAAGGTCGCAATGTCATTTATTATTGCATACCGCTACTTATTTATGAAAGTAACTATAGATATACATATTTTTAAATCATCAGCGTATTATAACTGTGTACCTAGTTTAACAGCGAGAAAATGAAACATGGTATTTAAGAAATCAATTTATTTCATTGTTAAATCGTAAATGGATTAGCCGTGAAATTGAAGTTGCAATTTACCTTTTAAAAGAGGAAAATTTAATTATTCTTAAGATATTCTAGTTACTTACTAAAATATAATAATATGCCCTTAGAACTTAGAATAGGTCTTTCATTATCCTCGATGTATGAACACGTCATAATATTTAAAACAGCGCGACCTACTGGCGAGTTTATGAATCATAGACCACTTGGACATTTGCGGGACCAAACGGGCTTGCTACACTCATTAGTGTAACAATTCTTTGCATAACTTAAAAACCTACATTTTTTGGAAAATCTCTGTTAATAGTTGATCACCATTAGGGTTAATCAACTATGAGTAAACAGCGGCTTAGTTTTACTCTGAGATATATTATAAGATTATATCATACATCTACAAGAAAAGAGCGTACTCCTTTTTTTAAAAGGCTAGCAATATACTCATTACTTCTTTAGTGATGTGGGTGTCTAAAAGCGAATCACTTACCACTCAGTAATCCTTCTGCTATTTTCCCTACTATTCCTTTTCTACAAACGAAATCAGGTCCAAATGTGTGAACAACTCTTTATGTGGTCTACAAATGTCTGGACGTCCTGTAACCTGTATTTTGTAAAGGCACAGATGAAAATCCTAGAGTATTTTTTTAGGTTTTTTTACAGAAACTGCATATGTACTAGTATAAAGGTAAAAATAAGCTAACTTCATAAATAAATAAATGCTATTAGAAGGAATTCTTGATCCAATCACTATGGGTACTTCCCAGTTTTGTAAACCTAAACAATACATTAACATACTGTTTTTTATATAGAAGGAAACTGTTTCATTTGATAGTATTGCGCTTAGGTTTTCCCGATTTTGCGATATTTCCGCTTAAACAACACTAGCTTCTTTACTATTTCTCATTATTTACTACATATATTGAAAATGTATAAAGAAACTTTTAAAAAATATACATATATCTAATGCTCTTGCCTCAAATTTGCACAGGTTCTATGCCCTGACAGTCCCTGTGATTTTTCTTCAATAAAACCTTATTTTGTCAAATCATACATCATCATCAGCCTAAGTACTCAAAGCAAAGCAAAGGCCTCTTCTCACAGAGAGGAGGTTTGAGAATTTTTCACAACGCTCAAGAAATTTTAAGTCCAGGTTTCTTCACAATAGTTTCACTGTGTACATACAAACTTACAAACTTACAAACATACAAACTTACAAATTTTACCTCTTTATAATATTAGTATAGACTTACTATTAGAAGATTCACTTTTGATTTAACCTTCGTAATATAGCACATAATCCTTATGGCCTGATTCACGTTGTCTGTTTTGAATAGCGACTATTTGCTAAATCAATTTGAATATAGAAATATAATTTGTATGAACTCTGTACTAGATCTTATCTAAATAATATTATAAATCCAAAAGTTACGATGTTTGGATGTTTGTTACTCAATCACGCCAAAACGGCTGGGCGGATCTTGCTCTCTGCAAAATTTGGCGCAGGCATAGAATACACTCTGGAATAGGATAAAGGCTAGTTTTTATCAACATACCACGCGAGTGAAGCTAGTAAATTTTCAAAAATCTTATATGTAGGTGGCGCTTATTACACGTGTCAAAAAACCCATATACTTGTTTTAGGTATTACTTTTCCTACCTAATTAGGGTAAGACAGAGAAAAAAAATACGGAACAAAGTCAGTCACTAATTAAGTATTAAACAAATGAGTATTGTAGACTCACTTAGACATAATTGATCAATCTTTACTCAATACCATGCCGTCATTTACCTTATGTACATTACTATATGTACTTATGTATATTGCCCAGTTAATTACTGTCTTGTCTGTAATTATTCCTTAGACGAAACACCTAGGCTTCATTTACGGAGACGCAGCGTGGCTAGTGTTCCACATACATTGCTCGTCATGTTCATATGTTTGTGTTTGCACAGATGATGATGCGGCCTTCTGCTGCAATGTACGACGAACCCACGACGCGTAAACGCGGCCTTAGGTAACTCAACTAACCAGCCCGCACGTTCATCAAGTTCCGCCAAATAGATTTACGGATTTTTAACTTTATGATTATGTAACAAAGTCGAAAATTTATAGTCAGCCAGCTCATTAAGCTCCATCAAATTTAAGCGATTTTACCTTTAAATGTATTGCAACATACACTACCAACAAACAGTCGAAATTCTAAATATTTTTTTTATTTGGTACATTTAGGGAAAGCGTAGGTTCTTATTTGAATAGATTAACTTGTTATCTTGAAAGTATTGGATAATGCAATAGATCTAATGACTTATCAGTGAAAATGGTTAATTTATAATTTAATAGCTTCTATCCGCAGCTTCGTCCGCATCGTGATCCAGGGTATAACTATAACATGTTGACTGTGTTATCACCGACCTACAGACTTTAACCAAATTAGTCCAGCTGTTTTATATCCAGACATTCCCACAAACTTCGACATTTATAATATTCGTAGAATAATAGGATCTTCTTTATTAACCACTTTAATATTTGACAAATGATTCACCTTAACGACAATTAAACGACAGTAAAAAGATAAATAGAAATTTATAGGTTCGCTGTCATGTTAAATATGAAATAAAAAAACATAAATTAATTTATTTATATAAAAAAAAAACAAAAAAAATATTAAATAAATCTAGCGTGTCAATTTTTATTTCCAATTGAACGAATAAAGCGCGCTAACCTTGACCAGGCGACCAAACATTATCCTTTTGTCTCAATTGGCCCGTAATTGTTGGGGACGTCTTCTGTTCTATTCTCAGATACAATTTGCACTTACTCTTGTTGTCAAATTGCACCTTAACTGTTCGCTCCGTGTTAAAACTTATTACATGTTGACAGGACGAAATGATACACAAACTGGTCGCCATACCAACTCGTAAACGGCACGACTTAACTTTGTAATGAGGTACTACAGTTACTTTACTTAAATTTTGTACTTTCGTCACTATTAATGGAATGTGATTTCGTCTGTCCAGGACTAATGCGATAACGTCAAACAAAAATGTGTTAACAATATTAATGTTTCCAGCCAAAATCTAAAGCCAAAACGAAATTAGTCAATTATACTTAGTCATTGGGATAATAAATTAATTCTTAGTGAATGAGTAGTGTAAATATATATGTGCTGAGTGTGCAGTCTCCGATGTGTGTTACATGTGATGTGTTTGAAAACTGCATGGAGCTCCACGTGGATTATTTTTATAACTAACCGCTAACCACAAAATAGTCACGTTAACGAGAAAACTAAAAAATCCAAAGATGCCTAAAGGTAAGTGCTACTTCGTATAAAAACAGTTGAATGTCAATTGCATATAATGTTCTTTATACATTAGTCATGCCGATCGAAACTATTTTCCTTGTCATATTGTGGTATGGGTATGTAACTATACCTATTAATTAGCATTTTGAAATTATGTTAATTATAGGAGTTTCAATGTGCATTAAGTAAGCAATTACTTGCATAAATCAGTTGATACTGAACTTATGGAAAACTAATATTCATAACTCCTCGGTATCGTTGGTGGAATGTTTATAATTCCTGGTGGGTCACGTGTTCGCATCTCGTGACATCACCGCCTCTAAACAGCACCGCCAACTGCTAATTTCAAGGCTGACAATAATCAAATGTAACTAATCCAATAAAGTTAGTGATAAAATAATTAATCAATCACATGTCTAATTCACCTTGCTTCGGTGCAATAAACAATCAATCGACGAGTTTCATAACAATCGAAGTTGTTTTAACTGAAGTATTATTTGATGCATCGCTCTCGCCAGCCCACCTGTATCTTAAAACAATCTCGTTTTAAATAAAACTTCTCATTTAATTAAAGTTTTTGAGCGCTCAAACAAATAGTGGCGCGGTAACGAATAATATTTCCAGAAAACGTAAATCTGACTGCTGCTTATTGTTTCATCTATAATGAATCACTATTGTTTATAGAAATATCTTGTTCGTCTTTTCATCTAACAGTTTGATACTTTGAGGTCGTGAATCAAGATTTACACTTTAATTTCTACCTTTGCTAGATTATTGAGAAATTTCACGAAACACATTATTTGATGTAGCTACCTGTTAATACAATACAATACAGAATAACCACAACATATCAATGTAGGTGCACGTATACAGAAAATAAAAGATTCAAACCGAACACATTTTCCAGAAGTTTTATTCGACTGAACGAAAAAGGTCACAACAACGAGTATTGTTGTCGTAAGCGTGTGAAAATAAAGAAGTCTGAAATATGAGGTAAGTTCTATTTCTACCTTGGAGACAAGCTGAGAGGAATGACCAACCTCCACCTCACTGCAGATAATTTGTAGAGGAACAGGATGGTTTCATGAGCTAGGCTTGTTAAAGACAAAATATTTGATAAGTGAAACGATTTTGCTATTAGGGCCGTGTCACACGCACTGCTTGATTGGTCGTCTCCCGTTTCACAGTTGACGCCACTTGAATCAATGAAGTGCTATTGGCTCATTGTTTAATCGTCTGTTTTATCAGCTGTAATGAACATACCGAGATGTTCGTGCATGTGGCTCGTTAAGGCACCCGATCATGATACACACAGTGTCTACGGTACACGTTCTTGTACTGTTTCTTTCTTTATAAAACGTAAATTTTTAATCGTATTTTCAAGAATCAGTTTGTTTTCATGTCTCAACTAACGTAACTATTTAGCTAATTAAATCCTACGGACTGAATTCGATTTTAGCTTTTCTAATTTCATCTTATAAGATTTGTTTTCTTTTTGTAGGTAACAGTTTTATGCCATATTATTATGCGCTCACAATCTCTTATTTGCCTAGACAATCGAAGGTCCTCGTGTGTTACATGCAACATATTTAAAAAATCTGAAAGATACATGATAACCGAACACCGGTACCTGACAACCTGTTTATTTATTCTATCTGAAACATATGAAACTGTCATAATGCATGCCGTGTTCCTGTATTGGATAACCTGTGATTGCGCTCTCGTAGAATTGCGCGACAACATTTTACAAAACATTTTCTGTTCAAACGAATGCATTAAAAGAACAATAACATTGGCTTGATTGGCGCGCCTCGGGCCTCGCTTCTGCGGCCCGTGCTCCGTGCTCCGTGCTCACATCTCTATTGATTTTGGAACAATTGTGCACAAACGTCACTGACCCTGGTGTGTTGTTGAACATATGAATAGTGAACTATTGCACCACTCCGGGGTTGCCGTTACGTTCAGCAGTCTCGTACTAATGTTGACTTCAATAGAATTTGCTATTACGTATTTGGAACAAATGTTTTGTTGGGAACACCGACACGCGACGAGTTCGCGCGCTTTCGTCACTATTTATAGTTTAAAGTTGAAAAAATTGTGACTAATGTGGTCGTGAGTCAGTCTGCAATTATAAGAAATAAGAAAGCAAATATAACACTGCAATAGCGGTGACTGTGTTCTTGTGAAAGGTCTGTTGTCACTTACGTGCATTGACACAGACGGGATGCATTGGGTTCGCACATGTAAACGCTTCAACATCTGTTCTCGTGTCCACAAAGCCGGAACCGATCGAGAACGTCAAAGTTCTTCATCGTTTATTATTGTCACATTCCCAGTGGACGGGAAATAATAGCAAATGGGATTTATGTGCTGGAATTTATTGTTGGTTTAGGTCTGTGAGGCGTGCCATTTGTATAGCCGCATCGAATGTCAACTTCTGAGACGATCAGACACATTTGTTCCACGTGTTAACGCCCATCGAAAACGTTTACTTATTGCTTTTGATTTTAAAAGTTAATTTTGTCCACAGGCGACGCCGATATGTCGCTGAAGCAGGGCAGCGGCACCGGCAAGGTCCATTTCGGTGGTTTGGATGATGTGTCCTTGTACGGCACGCCAGTGGAACCAGCGCCGCCGGCGACGGACGCCAAGCAAGGCTTCCTGCGAAACCAGCTGCAGGCACTCTTCCAACCCACCGACAACAAACTAGCCATGAAACTCTTCGGCTCGAAGAAGGCGCTGATGAAGGAGCGCATCAGGCAGAAAGCTGCTGGCCACTGGGTTATACATCCGTGCAGTAGTTTCAGGTGAGTGACCTTGACTTTGTGTATAGGAATGTACCTATACCCTTGATGCTATGAGCCTAGTATATATATACTTATGACTTGGTTGATGGAGAAAATAAAAGTAGCATTAAAATATCAAATGTATTTTAGATAGTTGTTACTGATTTCTATCTCTTAAAGTGGACAAAAGAAGATTTTATTTGTATATCAAAAAGTAAATTAACAATTACTCAATACATAATCACACGCTAAAAGAGCTTCAGACCGTTTTTAAATCGGCAATACGAACGACAGTTTCGTGAATTAATTACGGTATTAAAAAGCCATCAATAAAGTGCTTCAATGATGTAATTATTACCGAACGAAGCTCTTCGCTTGATATTAATGACCGATATTAATATACTTTGGAGTTCATTGTTTACTTTAGTTTAGCATTGGTAAGTTTAACAGTCAGATATTTTTACTCGCGCCATCTTTGACGACTGATCGTAATTTTTGACGTAAACTCAGGCATGTGCGTTATGTTCGTCCGTCTTGTTCAATGTCAAGTCTTATACTGAAGGATACATTTTATGTTTCGTTATAAAAGAAATTGAGTTTTCATATGATTTTATTTGAATTAATAACGTTCTTTTGTCTTCGTGTTTACAAAGCAAAGAGTATAATGATTCTAAGTTTTGAAAGTTTTCGTTGTTCTAAATTTGAAATTTATTCTCTTAATAAATTTTTCGACCTTGTGTCTGTTTAGATTTCGAATTAACCCGTACAATAACAAAATTAAAAACTTCTTATCTGCATTGAGTATAACAAAACTGAATAAATACTAGGTAGCAATAGGTTGTAACGGAACGTTACATGATTTTTAAAGTCTTTGACGCGGGTTAGGAACGAGCAACGCGCAAATACAATAAATATTTTTTCTAAGCGTAGTGCAATTAAGGTCAAATTTGAATAAATAAGTCTTTAAAATAACATAAATCTTGCTAGCATAAAAAACAGGTTTAAGATAAAATAATATGGAAGAAAATTAGGATTAGGCTCCAAAGTAAACCCGGGGGAATAGAGTTATCCTGGCTGATTTGAATAAAATATAATACAAGCAGTAGATTAGCATTTGTATGGGTAATTATTGGAGCTATGTATCTATGTAATATTACTTTTTTTAAGTGACGCAGTCTAATTTGGAGTTTTCAGTAATCGGGTGTAACAATCTTATGAATAGAAGTAAGATTGATTAATATTAACTGCCGCATTGAAAAACACACTCTTTTAAGAACGATTCAAAAGCGTACACCCATTATTATTTGCAACTTTTTAAATTCAGTAAAAAAGTAAAACATAAGTATAATCATGTTTTATCTCATTCTTTTCCTTGTTAACACGAAATTGCTGAAACCGAAAGTGATGAAACAGCACTTATCTCGATCATTGAGTAACAACAAAATGCAATTCAAAGAAATTATTTTCAAATCAACAAAATGTTGAGGAAAATCCAGCGAGCAAGGGAAATTAAATCTTATATATGTATATATAATATTTGAAATCGCATTTTTAAATGAACATGCACAATATGGCCGCTCATATTATTGAGACGTATTACAAAAGCTAGTGCTGTTATTGTAACAACTAAACGTGGCAGTTACTCATGTAGTTCATTCGTCGATCATTTTGTTCAGCGAACCGTACACAAAGTGTTGAATATACAATTATATAGAGCTGTTATCTCATTGTCAGTTGACATCTGCTGACTGTACTTAAAATGGAGTATAGCTATTTTGCAGATAAAGTTAATTACCTATCTGCAACCTCCAGATTTAGTGGCACGAGTACCCAACGCTGGCCTCTTTTTGTAAAATTAGTAATAGAGCACGCTCAATTTTTTCGTTGACACATCTAGGTAGAGAAGTTAGCTATTAACCTAGCATAAGAGAGGGCCAATAAGGACAATGTTCAGCTGGAGTTACGGTGGCATTTCAATAATGTAGATAATAAACGGATGGTTTTATGCCAGCCTTACTGGCTAAATTTGTACTTATATCTTTCTAGGACAAAGGAAGACAGTTGATAATTATCCTCCCTGAAAAAAAAGGTACAGAAATAAATTCCTAGTTTTGTTGTTAAAAAAATATCTAATATTTTGTACATAGAATTGTTCCAATTAAAATTTAAATATCGTACAATATCATTATGAGAATGTATTTTTTTTAATGTTCATCTATGACCACGTATGTCCTTATCCAGCGCTGATCACTTGAGTTTGAGATTCGTCTGCTTGTTTAAGGCATTATAAGGAAAAAAAAGTAATTACTGAACTAATTTTAATTCAAAATAAAGGCACAGTAATACAAAATACACCAGTATTATTAATTCTCTACAAGATAATGTATATTTTAATTTCTAACAATTACTAGCTGTCATAAACACTACCCGCCCACGCAAGCACTACACTTTGTGAGAGAGAGAGATAATGTTTATTTCGAAGAATTTTTAAAATATGTTTTTAATGTGTTAGCTACTAAACAAGTATGGCAGAATGGCCAGAATCATATCATTTGGCAGACTGCAACGTTCTCTGATGTACCTGAACCTTTTATACACAGATCACATAACAATTTGGAAAACGAGGATTTGCCGAAGTGTTATCTAGAGGAGACCCACAGTTTAATGATTGACTTATTGGCTCTTGGTGATAATAATGTGGATCTGAAGATTGCAGGTCCGTCTCGTGCCCTGCCATGGGCGTCACAATTAGGCAGACATAGAATAAATATAATTTTATCTTAATAAAACTTTTCCCCACGTTAAGTTTTTATCCTGTATCCTAGATAGCGTTTACAAACAGACTCTTTCACATACATCTCACATCTAGACCGGAAACAAAAACTTGTTGATGACACAAAGAGTTAATTAGGAAATCAAACGCCATTGCAGGGCAACCGGTTCAGACGGCGTCCTATAGGGCTGATGTTCAGCCGAGGTTGCGGGTTAAGCGCAATGAGTCACGGCGGCCTCGGCCCAAAGCAGGAGAAGTCTGACACTGACTATCGCCTTACCCTGGGCAGGAGAAGGCATTTGATGATTTTCTCTTAACAAAAAAAAAGGGCAGCCGGTTGCCCAGCCACCGCGTCAATTGTACCAGTCGATACGATGAATGGAGTTATTTTGTAACCATTGATGTGATCACAACAAGAAAAATGCTATGAAAATGCTAGTAGATCTTTAAAAGACACTCCCTCCTCTCCCTACTTTACAATTGTACACTTAACATTAATTAAATTCATTTACCTACATAACGTGGATAAGTAATGAAAACAATGAGCTGTATAACTGTAGGTACTAAGTTTTCCTTTTGTAACACGCTAAATGACAGTTTAATTTATGACCTGAACTCCGTTTCGAAATTTAAATTTTATAACCTACACATATGGTGTTACTTATAAGCTGGGACATATAGCATACAGTCTTTATGTCTGTTGATGAAGTCAGAAATGAGGTTTTAATCATCATTAGTTACTGGTTGATTAGAAGATAAATCCAGTTTATAATTAATACAGTCTGCTTTAGTATTGATATCATCAATCAGAATACATATGTTTATACAAGATACTAGTTACTGTGTAGATGTATTTCAATTGAATGGACGGAGTGTTTTAGTCAGTAGGAATCTGAGAATTGATCTAGCCCAACCCAGCCATTTAATGATTTTGTCCCTGAAAAAATAGGCATAAAAAATACGAAATGATAATAAAAAAATTGAACTACTGATACATATTTCCTCTTTACAAAATCGCACTTCATAATAATATTATACTAATTATAGGAAGTAAAACTAGCTACTATAGGCTTGCCGCCTGGCATGACCCGTAGCGTGACCTCCACTGAACACTTTAACAAGCATTATTCAAAATGAAGCTAATATTTACACTCCATACAGATTTGTATGAGTCACATACATGTGTTTTTTCACTGCCATTCAGAAATATACCAGTTCATATTTGTTACAAGTTATTTTTGATGTCAAATGTCATTGTACTCTGTATCTTAAGTAGATAGATATAGTGATTAATTTTACATGTCATCTCGGAAGTGTTAGATAGATTATATAATGTACAAACTATTTTTATTAGATTTTAGACCTTATTCGAAATACCTAAGTTTGAAGTTAATTATAGTTGAAATTTCGACTTTTTTACATATTTAAAAAAAAGTCCCTAAGGTCGGTAAAGAACTTGTAAGTCTTCGATTTGATTATAGTGTAAATAGTGATTTTTTTATGTCATAGGTCGGTAAACGAGCGGACGGATTACCTGATGGTAAGCAATCGGAGCCACCCATGGACACTTGTAACACCAGAAGAGTAACAAATGCGTTGTCGACCATTTTGGGATTAGGATTGCGGAGATTCAGGGATAGGGGAGGGGAAGGATTGGGCCTCTGGTAACCTCACTCACGCGGCGAAACATAGCACTGAGGTTATTTTCCGCCGGTTCTCTGTGAGGCTGTGATATCACTCCGGTCGAGCCAGCCAATTCGTGCCGAAGCTTGGCTCTTTCACACCAGATGATCCGCCATAGTTTAAAAACGTATTCCAAATTAAAATAATCTAATCTAGATCAATCGTACCTGAAATAACGCGCAAATACTTATTTGTATGTAAAATATCACATGACTATGTTTACCTATGGTTAGTTAAAACATTCCATCTGGTAGATCTTTATCAATGCATTAGTGCACACTGATCCCATAGTCCGATATGAGTATTCACTCAAATAGACGTTTACTGTAAATTGAAAAAACAACTGTAGGTGGAGGTGTCTCAGTTCATACAGATTAAAAAGAAAATAGATTTATTTTTCTGGAGAACTTTAAAAAACCTCACACTAAGATGTTTCTGTGTTGTGTGTGAGTGCATTTAGATACTAACACAAATGTACATACACGTCAAACTCGGAACAACAATTTGTGGATCACATAAAGAACTCTTTACAGCCCTTTCAATAACAACCAGCCTTTAAAAACTC